CATGCTCACACGCGCGCGCGCGTACACGTCGGTCGGAAGAAGCATGTAAAAACATGAGGTAGGCAGGCGGATAAAGTAGGTTGGGCTCAGGCTTCCCGAATAACAGCAAAACACAGCAAAAACATTCTTGAAGTAGGAAGGCGCTCGACTTAGATTGGGACCTGGGAGCCCAATAATACCTACACCCTGCGAAATGCTTAAGAAATCATGGGTTAAGAAATTCATAGTCTCAGAATTTGAATAAAAAACCAACATTTCTATCAAAATCTTAAGATTTACATTGAAACGTTAAGAATAATCGAGACTCTGGCCGAAAACTTGAGTTTTCTTAAGCATCGGCTAAGGTGTACTTCCGACAGCCGACGTGTACTTCTTAATCCCCAGCGGCCGGGCGACAGCACCGCAGCGAGTGCCGAGGCGGAGGGTGCTTTGGCTCAACTCTCTACAGGACGGGGCCAGCACGAAGAGGACGAATTCGGGTGAGGATAGGTCGGGAATTTATGACATCTGGCTCTGGAGAACGTCTCGGGCGCCGCGGCCTTTTCGGAGCATCCCGGAACGCTCTGAGAGCGTTCCCGGACGCTCTGGGACGGATTTGTCCCCGCCCGACTCTGGGCGGCGCGCTCGGGGGAAGTGAGAAGGAGGAGGCCTTCTCAGAAGGCGGCGAGACTTCTCCGAAGCCCTCTAGCCTTCTGCAAACCTTCGCTGCGTCCTCGGGGAAGGCCTCGACGACGTCAGAGAAGACCTGCAGCCTTCCGAGCCTTCTGGGAAGGCCCGCCCCTTTTCACCTCCCCCCCAAGCGCGCCGCCGACTCTCACCCGGCGCTACACATGGGGGCGCTGGGATTCTGGATGGAAGCAGGTGCACGCAACGAAAAAACAGAGAGACCGCGACCACACGAGGACAACAATCATGCGCAAACAATGCGCCAACAACAAAACAACAACCATCAGGTCGGCGAAGAGGGGGGCGGAGCGGAGCGGAGCGCGCTGAGTCCGCCGGCCGGCCGGCGGGCCCCTTAGGAGCAGCGCGGGTGGGCCAGAGCCCGCTTACTGAATGTGGTGGAGGAAGTCGTCTTCCCAACTGTCCCAAAGTATCTGATCACATGCATAGTCCAGCCAATGTTGAGTGATTCCCCCAATTCGACTGTGTACAAATTGGGGTATGTCGTCGCACCACCGCTTGCGTGGTCTTCTATACCTGCGCTGTGCTATCCGAGAGTCGTGGACTTCTGGCTGGCGAAGAGGGGGGATGAAGCCAAATCAGCCCCAAATCAGTCCCTGGACCCATCTCGGGGTAGGCCTGGTGCAATTTTTCACACCATATCCATTTTTGAGAACCCTGGGGCCTCCAAAAGGCACCCAGAGGCCAAAACATAGAAAAACCTTCTCGAATCGAAACCCTCCTCCTCCTCCACCTCCTCCTCCTCCTCTCCTCCTCCTTCTCCTCCTCCTCCTCCTGGGAACGGCGTCCTGGAACGATTCATGATAGACGCAACAATAACCGTGATTCGCGGCGTTGAAGTCCCAAGAATGGCGCTCTGGCACAATCCCGGATTCTCAAAAGGTTGTCTTCCAACGGGGCATTTCCCTCAGCGAAAACCAATCCGTGTAGGGACCTATGAAGAGCTTGGAGGGAGGGGGTATCCCAACATCGTTGATGAGTCTTGGGCTTACACTGGTCCTCCTCCTCCTCCTCCTCCTCCTCTTCCCCCTCCTCATCCTCCTCCTGGTCGGGTCCTCCTGGAGCCCTCCCCCGATCGCGAAACGCGCGGCGCGCGCGCGCGAGGAGCGCCTCCAGGTCCTCGCCGGAGGCCGCCCGGGGCTCCTCGCGCGCGCGCGGTCGCTGGAGGGCTTCCCCAGTGGGGACCGCGCGTATACACAGTAAGGTATCTGGGCCCTGTCCCATGGGGCTTCGCAAAAACGCCAGAAGAGCCTCAAAGTCCCCGTCGGATGCTGCCGGAGGCTCCTCGCGCGCGCGCGCGGTCTCTGGAGGACGTCCACGCTGGGAACCGCGCGCAAGTGTCGCCGCGCCGTTTGTTCTGAACGCGCCCAAGCAGACAGAGTCGGCACTGCGGCAAACGCCACGGCGAGCCCTGCGTCCGAGGCGGAGATTACCCTGGTGGCCGTGGCACGTGGCACCCTCCCCAAGGCGCACGACCGCGCGTCAGAACAGACGGCGCGCCGACATATACGCTAAGGTATCTGGGCTCTTTCTCATGGGGCTTCGCAGACACGCCAGAAGACAACGTATGGTGTATCAGTTTCCGGCCGTTTCTTTGTGGGCGACAGGTGTTGAGCAACAAATAGTACACCGTGCTTGGGCGGACATGTTCCTGTCCCCGGCCCAGGCAGTCAGCGCCTTGGGGACTACACATGTAGCGCACAGACAGCCGCTACATGGATAGTCCCCGCTTGCCTCAACAGGCCCCCCGACTAGTCCCAGCTGGCCTCAACAGGCCCCTGGAGTAAGCTGGGACGGTCTCAACACCATGGCGCCCTTTTTCCGGCGGCGCCCCTGGGGAGCGCAGCGCCCCTGGGTTGAGGCGTTGAGATTGCCCCGGGCTGCTCGGGGGGCCTGTTGAGGCAAGCTGGGCCTACTGAGGGGCCTGTTGAGGCCAGCCTGGACTACCTAGGGGGCCGCCTGTGCGCAACCCGAAGCATTACCAAGGAAATCGAGGGCCTCTTGGGGGACTCCATGCAGCAGGCCTGGCCATCGAGGTTGATGAATTGCTGGGCCATCTGGGCTTCCAAGAGATCTCTCGTCACCGCGACCAGATACCCCTGCGAAGATCTAGTCAGGACGTAGCACTGGACAGGTCCAGGGTCGATCCTTGACCTCCGAACCCTCGCGTCGTGAACGGAACCCGACAAAAGGTCTTGTCAATGGTCGGCCGCTGGGGGCCATTTTCGGCCCCTCGGAGCACTCCAAAAACGGCTCGGGATGCAAAACTGGCCAGACTGTCAAGTTTCTCCAGGGAGCGCTCCAAAATCAAGCCGAGGCAGCAGCTCGGTCTCGCGCCAGTGCGGGGCCGCTGATGCATTCGGCATGCAGCCGCACCTATCGAGACGAAAATGTCGGCTCGTGTTGAGGGCATGATCGTAGAACAGAGGAGGGGGCACGATGTGCTGAACATAATCAGGACCGGCGGCGAGCGAGGGGGGGAAGTGAGAAGGAGGAGGCCTTCTCAGAAGGCCGCGGGGCCTCTGGGAAGTCCTTTCGGCCTTCTGAAAGAAGATTTTGTGTGCCGTCGGGGAAGGCTTACAACAAAACTTCTCTGAAGGCCAGGGGGCTTCCGAACCTTCTGAGCAGGCCCGCCCCCCCTCTGACTACCTACCAGACCACCCCAGCCTAACCCGAAGACCCACATTTCGGGTCGAGGGGGAGGGTACATGTTCCACATGTCTGCCAGTTGCATCAGCGCCATGCCCGAACAGACAATTTCAAAAACGAGACCCATGCCACTTCTCAGCAAACACTTACAAGCCATCCTTCAAGCAACTCGAATGTGTGTATTGCGGTATGCTGGACTGACAACGACCATGGCAAATACTCCATACAAAAACAAACACCATAACACATGCCATGTGTGAATACATGACAAAGACCATGCCGGCACTGCACGGACTCACAATGCGCAACCGACAGCCGACGCAATATCTCTAGAACAGGTCCAATTACACATTCTCTTGCCTGGGAAACATCTGTTCTGGCAGACTCAAGTATGCGAAGAGGAACGAGGTTGTAACGAAAGACGCCACCTCGTGGCCCCTGTGAGGCACTCGCAACAGTAGAAGACTGCGGATCGCTGGGTATCTGATTCTGGCCACTGGCGGCACTCAGCCTTGAACGACCTCGCTGGGGTCGCCGCCGCGTCGACACGATGCGAACCTACCGTATGGTGGCAGCGGCAGCAGGATGGCAACCGCACCGGTATAAGCAACATCCGGGTTAGCGACCGAGGCTGGTATTGATACATCTCCGCAGCCTCTGGGCTCGCCAGGACCTCAGGGGGCAGCGGATCTGGACATCTCTTGGGACCCCCATGGACCGAAATCATCCACATCCGCTGCCTGCTCATGCGAGTCTGGGGTGCTTCTTCGGGGCCAAGAACAGTGAATGCCTGAGCAGCCGAAGATCGCAGGAGCCACGCCTCTCGACATCACGCGGCTCATAACAGGCAGCCGGGACTGAAACGCCGCAGCTCCGTGACCGCCGCAAGCGCGGGGCAGTAGCCGTGGAATGAATATCTTCATCGCCGGAAGCGCTGCTCCCCCCCCCGGAGAGAGAACGGGGGGGCCCAGAGATCCGACGTCGTTTTTTTTTTTTTTTTTTTTTTTTTTTGTTGAAAAAAAAAATACGGGGTCCCCGGAAATTCTCGACTCATTCCCCAGGACCGGTTTTTCATCCCGAGTCGTTTTTTGACGGTCCCGAGGCCCAGCGAGGGCCCTTAGGGGCCGAAATGTGTGAGAATCCTCCGTCTTGATTTTTTCAATGCGTTGGATCTCTGGGGGGTCATCCCTTTGATAATTCCAGGGCTGACATGAAGGGCCCTGGGGCATATCGGCTGTTTAGGTCGGGCCTGTCCCCCTACAGGCCGATTTTGGACGAAAAATCCCAAAGGGGACGAAACATGTTCCAAAATGGTCAGAAATAGTCAAAAAATCGTCCCCCGACTATTTTTTGACTATTTTTGAGGATTCCTGCAGTAGAGGGACAGGCCCGATTTAATGCTGTGTGCATGGGGTTTTAGCCTCGGAAAGGCGGCGGCCTCGGCGGCGGCAGCAACGCGCCGCAGGGGAGCGCTTCGCTTGGCCGAGAGCCCAGCACCAAAACCGGCCGGTCCGAAACGGCGGCAGGCCCCGCGGCGCGGCCCTGCCCGATCGCAGGGCCCTCGGGCTGCCCCCGCTGCCGCTGGCGGGGGAGACGAAGCCGCTCCGCTCAGGACTGCTGCTTCTGGCCCGCTGCGTGCCAGTGGCCGGTCGAGCGGGGGGCGAGCGTTACCGGCCATCCTCGGCATCCTCGTGGCGGCGCGCAGAGGGATCGATCCGGGGCGACCAGGGGCGGCTCTCTGTGAAGGCGGCGGGCGGGCTTCTAAGGAGGCAGTCAGGAGTCAACTCCTGCGAGGCGTCGTCAGATCTATGAACAATGACCGAGCTCGATTTATCACGGGCCATCAAGCTGGACTTGGCCCGATCAGGTCCGAGATTAAGCTAGATAAGGCCAGAGCAAGCGGATTAATCCAGATTGCGCGGGATTCTGCTGGATTTGGGCAGATGTCGATATGGGTATATGTGTGTATATATACATATACCAACGCGCGCGCTTCGCGCGTGCTCAGGTTCTAGCAGGCCCAAGGCCTTGACGGATTCATTGCTCCACTGAAGTAGTGGACCACAGTCCACGCATGCCAATCTGCATTCCGAAAGGCCTTCGAGGAAAATGGTTGTGTTGGGGGGCGGAGGTCGTATGAATCGGGTTCCCAGAAGGCCTTCTGGGAGCATGGGTTTGGGGCGTCTTGGGGAGCCTGTTGGGGCGTGCCGTCGTCGTCGTAGTCGTCGTCGTCGTCGTCGTCGTCGTCGTCGTCGTCGTCGTCGTAATGTCGTCGTCGTAATGTCGTCGTCGCCTATTGGGGCGCGCCGTCGTCGTCGTCGTCGTCGTCGTCGTCGTCGTCGTCGTCGTCGTCGTCGTCGTCGTCGTCGTCGTCGTCGTCGTCGTCTTCGTCGTTTCGTCGTCGTCGTCGTCGATTCAAGAGGGCACTTGGGGCAACTTTGTGCGAAACGATCTGCGGAGGGCCGCGAGAAGGCGATCAGTCATGTTCCCAATCAACTTCCCAGACAGCTCTCCTGTAGCATGATGGTACTTCGAGGCCTCCGGAGACTCGCGGGCCCATGATAAACCATGTCCCCGGAAGGCTTTCTGGGGACATGGTTTGTTGGGGTGTTGGGGGGTCTCTTGGGCGGCCCCTTGGGGGCCTCCGGGAACTCTCCGGCCCGTGATGAACCATGTCCCCGAAAGATTTTCTGGGGACATGATTTCTTGGGGTGTGTTGGGGGGCCTCTTGGGCGTTCCCTGGGAGCCCCTTGGGGGTTTCTTGGGGTTTCCTGGGGACCTCTTCGTGGGAGCCTCTTGGTGGCCTCCGGGGGCCTACAGGCGGCCTCTAGGTCCAGAGACCTCGAAATATCAGTTGGCGGTCCCCCTCTGGGCCCTTTCTTGGGGAGCTGTTGGGGCACAGGTGGGTTGTCTGGGGAGCCTCCTGGGCTGTCTTGGGGCCCTCTTCGGGGCCTCTTGGCCCGTCTGGGAGCGATCTGAAGGGCCTTCGAGCGAGGCCGTGAGGGAGCGCTGGGAAGCGGGGAAAGTGAGAACGCCTAATTCCTTCAAAAACCATTGGAAAATTAGTGAATCTCGCCTCCCAGGGCCCTCTTGGGGAGCCTCTTGAGTCCGTCCTTGAGCGTGTTCGAGTCCTCGTCGGCCGTCTTGAGGGCAGCTTGGGCGTCTTCGGGGCCTCTTGGGACCATCTAGGGCCCTCTCGGGACCTCCATTAGCCTGTCGTGCTTCGGGGCGGGCCCGGGACCCCTCGGGGCCTTCTCTTGGCGCGCTCTTGGGGCACACTTGGGTTGTCTGGGGAGCATCCTGGGCCGTCTTGGGGCCCTCGTCGGGGCCTCGTGGGCCTTCTTGGAGCGATCTGAAAAGCCTCCGAGGCCGTGAGGGAGCGCTGGAAAGCGGAAGAAGCGAGAACGCCAAGATTCCAAACACTCGGAAAACGAGTAAATCTTGACTTCCAGGGCCCTCTTGGGGAGCCTCTTGAGTCCGTCCTGGAGCGTGTTCGAGTCCTCGTCGGCCGTCTTGAGGGCAGCTTGGGCGTCTTCGGGGCCTCTTGGGACCGTCTAGGGCCCTCTCGGGACCTCCTTAGCCGGCTCTCTAAGAGGGGGGCCTCTGGGGGCTTGCCGAGGGGCGCTTTTTGGCCTTGTCGGCAAGCCTATTGGAAACATGGTTGGGGCGGTGGGCGGAAGCCCAAGGAATCATGTTCCCGGAAAGCTATCTGGGAAATACGATTTACCGACCTGTCTTGGGGGCCCGCAGGGGGCTTCCCTGGGGGTCCAGTGGGGGCCTATTGGGGCTTCTGGGGGGCCTCTTGGGAGCCTCACGGGGCTTCTTGGGAGCCTCTTGATGGCCTCCGGGGGCGTCCTAGGAGCCTCAGGCCGGAGACCTCGAAATGTCGCGCTCTTTGGGTCGCTCTTGGGGCTCTCTCGGGGCTCTCTCGAGGCCCTCTTGACTTATCTGGGGAGCCTCCTGGGCAGTCTCTGGGCTTTCTTGGGAGCCTCTTCGGCCGTCTTGGAGCGATCTGGGCCTCTGTCGCGGTCCAGGACCGTGGGGAGGCGGAACATGGGAGAGTGCTAGAATGCTTCAAAAACCATTGGACAATTTATGATTTTCGGCTTCTGGGGCCCTTTGGAGGGGTCTCTGGAAGCGCTCTTGGGGCGTTTCGGCGGCGTCGTCGGCCGTCCTGAGGCCATCTTCGGCGTGTCCCGGGCCTCTGGGGTTCCGTGAGCCCCACGGGACGATCTTTTTGGGCCGTCTTGGGCCCTCTTGGGTCTCTCTTGGGCTGTCTTGGGGCTCCTCGGGGGCGTCTGGGGCACTGTGAAGACGAAGCAAGCGAATTTGCTGAAAATATACATTTACTAAGGGAACGGGCTGATTTTTGCCTCTTGAAGGCCCTCTCGGGGCCCTCTTCGGCCATCTTGAAGCCATCTCTGGCCCTCTTGGGCCTCGCTGACGCTGTCTTGCGGGCCTCTTGGGCGTCCTCGGAACCCAGAAATCATGTTCCTGGAGAGGCTTCCGGGAACATGATTTCGAACGAGGCCCTCTTGGACCTCCCTGAGGCCGTCTTGGGGGCCTCCTGGGCCGACTTTGGGGCTTCTTGGGCCGGGCCTCTGGGGTTCCGTGAGCCTCACAGGCCGACCCTTTTGGGCCGTCTGGGGCCCTCTTGGGTCTCTCTTGGGCTGTGTTGGGGCTCCGCGGGGGCGTCTGGGGCACTGTGAAGACGAAGCCAGCGAGTATGCTGAAAATGAATGTTTTACGCTGGGAATGGGCAGATTTTTGCCTCTTGAAGGCCCTCTTGGGTCCCTCGTCGGCCATCTTGAAGCCATCTCGGGTCCTCTTGGGGCGCTCTTGGGCGTCTTCGGGGCCTCTTGAGGCTTTCTTGACCATCTGTACGGCCCGCGTGGCCTGTCGTGGGTAATTTGGAAGCGGCCCGGGGCAGTCCCAGGGGGTCTGTGACCCCCCAAAGGTTCGGGGGGGCGCCCATGGGGGATGATGGCACCGGTTTTTGCCCCCCCCCCCCCCCCCCCCCTCCCCCCCCGCCCCCCCTCCCCCTCCCCCCCCCTGTCCCCCCCTCCCCCCTCCCCCCCCCTCCTCCTCGCCCCCTCCCGCCTACTCCAATATCTATCTATATATATATCTATCTATCTATCTATCTATCTATCTATCTATCTACCTATCTATATTTATATTTATATTTTTTTATATATATATATATATATATACACATGTATGTATGTATGTATGTATGCATGCATGCATGCATGCATGTATGTATGTATGCATGTATGTCTAGGTATATATAAACTCTAGAACCATCGCGCGCGCTTCGCGCGCGCTCGAATTTCTAGCTAGGCTTGATCGGCTAACTCATGTAATATCATATTGGTCGCTTCTTGCGTCTAGAGACTCCCTTGGAGGCCCTGCGCAAACCTCGGAATCTTATAGAAGGGGAAGTGCGGAAACGCAGAAATCATTAATTTCCTCTGGGTATTCAACGATTTGGGGCCCTCAAAGGCATCCTGGGTTCTTTTTTTGGGATTGAGGGGGGTCTGAATTGTAGTCTTTTGTGTAAGAGTAGGCCGGGAGCCAAACTTGGAGAAAAAGGAATTGTGGGATTTTTACCTAACAGCGAAGACTGATAGGTTTCTAGTTGACTCAAAAGAGCTCACAGATCACTCCACAGGGGGGTCCGGGCAGGTGTTGGGGAGTTGCCGGGCGGCAGGGTGCCGGGCTCGTTTTTCACCAACAGTCATACACTTCGTGCTCTTCGACTTCCCAGAACTCCATTCCCAGGCCACATTCTGAATACCCGGATGCAACAGTCACACACTTCGTGCTCTTCGAGATCCCAAAACTCCATTCCCGGGCCACCTTTAGAATAACCGGATGCAACAGTCACACACTTCGTGCTCTTCGAGTTCCCAGAACTCCATTCCCGGGCCACATTCTGGAGGGCCGGATGCAACAGTCACACACTTCGTGCTCTTCGAGTTCCCAGAACTCCATTCCCGGGCCACATTTTGGATGCCCGGAGCCAACTGTAGGCCACTTCGTGCTCTTCGAGTTCCCAGAACTCCATTCCCGGGCCACATTTTGAATGCCCGGAGCCAACTGTAGGCCACTTCGTGCTCTTCGAGTTCCCAGAACTCCATTCCCGGGCCACATTTTGAATGCCCGGAGCCAACTGTAGGCCACTTCGTGCTCTTCGAGTTCCCAGAACTCCATTCCCGGGCCACATTTTGAATGCCCGTAGCCAACTGTAGGCAACTTCGTGCTCTTCGACTTCCCAGAACTCCCATTCCTGGGCCACATTTTCAGCAGGGGCAAGAGCACGACGAGGAGGAGGACGAGCAAGACCAGGAGGACGAGGACGAGCAGGAGCAGGACGAGGAGCAGGAGGAGCAGGAGAAGAAGGACGAGCAGGAGGAGGAGGAGGAGGAGGACCAGGAGGAGGAGGAAGGAGAGGAGGAGGAGGAGGAGGAGGAGGAGGGGGAGGAGGAGGACGAGCAAGACGAGGAGGACGAGAACGAGGACGACCAGGAAGAGGAGGAGGAGGAGGAGGAGGAGGGGAGGGGGAGGACTACCAGGAGGAGGAGGAGGAGGAGGAGGAGGAGGAAGAGGAGGAGGAGGAGGAGGAGGAGGAGGAGGAGGAGGACGAGGAGGAGGAGGGGGGGGGAGAGCACCAGGAGGAGGAGAA